TGAGCGCCGCCGGGCGATGATGGCGACCGCCTGTCTTTCTCCTCCGGGGGCCACTGCGGCAGTAGCGGCGGCACAAAGGGATCCCCAGTGATCTCGGCTCTTCTTGCTTGGAGTTGCCAGGGTGCCAAAAAAAAAGAAGGGGGGGCGGAAGAAAGGGAGGGAAGGAATTTCCCCCCCTCCTCCTCCTCCTCTCCAGTGACGGGCCCTGTGGCAAAACAACAAAGCAGAGAGAAAGAGAGAGCGCGAAGAAGATCTGGGCTGCTTTCCCTCCGGTTTCCCCCCTCCCTTGGTGCTGTGCCTCCTTGCCGCCGCGCGGGAGGGGCGGGCAGGGCCGGCAGGAGGGGCGGGGAAAGAGCAGCCCTCCAGGATGACTGGGGTCTTTGACAGCCTGGTCTCAGATATGCATGCCAACCAGATTACCTCCAGCAGTTACCACCAGCACCACAGTTTGCACAAGCCGCAGGAATCGCCCACTTTGCCCGTCTCCACCGCCACCGACAGCAGCTACTACACCAACCAGCAGCAGCAGCCGCCGCCGCCACACGGGAGCGGAGGCGGCAGGCCAGTCACAGTGGGAAGAGGAAACTGGCAGAAACTTACTCTGGATCCAACCCATTACCAAGAAAGTGTGTAATTTCTATACAGATTTCAAATCAAACTGTAGACAGTTTGACCCTCATCACCGGTCTCTACGCTTTTCACATCCATCTGCCCCCCGCTTCCGCGGGCGAAGGAGCTCCGGGACCGCCGGTTTCCCCCTTTCAGGCTCTGCGCCGCCGGGACGCCGGGCTGGGGGAGGGCGAGGGCGAGAGGGAGAGGCCTGCGCCGCCTTTCGACTAACCCTCGGCCGCATCGCTTCCTTGCAGGGCCCGAGTCGGAGAAGAGCACGGTGGTGGAAGGCGGCGAGGTGCGCTTCAACGGCAAAGGCAAGAAGATCCGCAAGCCCCGGACCATCTACTCCAGCCTCCAGCTGCAGGCCTTGAACCGGCGCTTCCAGCAGACGCAGTACCTGGCCTTGCCCGAGAGAGCCGAGCTGGCCGCCTCGCTGGGCCTCACGCAAACTCAGGTAGGAAAGGACGGGACGGGAGGCGCTGCACCGGCCGGGGCGAGGAGGAGGAGCACGTCCAAAGAGTCCCGGGCGGCGGGGAGGCGGAATCTCTGCCTCGGACCATTTGCGCTCTCCAGATCGGAAGGCGGAGCAGCCCCCCACCCCACCCCGGAGGGGCTTCTCCTGACGATTGTTGGGGGGGGAGCAGAGTGCAGCTTGCAACGGGCGGCCTCGGCCCCTGCCTATTGAGTGAAGCAGGCCCGCGCGACAAGAGAGAAAGGCCGTGCGGTGGGTGTTTAAAACCTGCTTCTGACCCCGATATTAAAGCGCTTCTGAAAGCCCCGTCGATTTACACGGGAAAGGGTTTTCAGAAAGCGTCCGTTATTAGTCCATGCTCTCTGTTTAAATGTCTAGGGAGCCGTCCAAAGCAGGTCTAACTAAGAAAGTCCCGTTTTACCCACTGGGGCTAACTCCCAGGAAAGTTGTTCTTAGGACTGGGGCCTTAGGCACGCTCGAGACCGCCGGCTTGGAGGGCCTGCAACGCGCTTCTTTGCGGAGGGGCCCTAAAAGCGTCGGCATCCAATGTTCTGTTTCTAGGCCAACGCAGCGCGCCTGCTGCCCCGCCTTCCCCCTTTCCCCTCTCTGCTCCTGCAAATGATGTTTCCTTCCCCCTTTCGGTCGGGTTGTGAGGAGGGAATATTGGCTGTCTGGCTCCTCTTTTTTAAAAAATTCTGCTGCTCTTTGCGTGGAGAGAGAACAGCCTAATTTCACTCCAGACAGGGCGAAGGGGGTTGTTTTGGGTTGCCTCTTCCCCCTCGCCCGCCAGCCAGCCAACCCCGCTTCCGCCCACGGGTAGGAACAGCGCAGGCCTCGGAGCCTTTTCCAGGCACTCAAGACCAGTCGAATAAACCCAAGCAGGCGAGGAGAGTTCCCCGGCGGCCTCAGAAAGGCTTGGCGCGGCCTGGTCAACAAAAGGCCGTCTCTGGCGCCTTCGAGACCAAACGGATTTGTTGTGGGGAAAAGCGCTGGAGGAGGGAGCGGGCGAGCGGGCGGGCGCAGAGCCCTGCCTGGGCCACACAGCCACTCCCGTGCTATTGAAAAGGCCTCCAGACTCCTCTCCGGGTGGAGAGTTGGGTTTGTTTTGGTTCCCTGGCCGATTTGTGTTTCCCGCGTCCCTCATTTTCAAAAAAAAACACCCTCCAGTCGCAGGCCTCTTCGAAGCCCTTTTTACCAACCAACCAACAGACACCCAACACAACACAACTGCGCCACAAGCCAAGCCTCTCCCCCCCAAACCCCGGAACGACGAAGGCGAGGAGCTCTCGCGCAGCAAGGCTCCTCCCTCCCTCCCTCCGCCATCCAGAGGGCCTCCGCGGAGGGCTCCTCTCTGCTTGCTTCTGTGACCCTCACCTCCGCCACGCACGACTAGCCGAGGACAGGCTGCTGCGGCCTAGAGCCTCAGACTCCGCGGAGGCGCCGGGGAAGGCCTCCAGCCCGGCCTCCAAGAAAAGGCGGGAATGGCCCCGGCGGCCTCCCCCGGGCGGAAGGAGGGCTCGCGCAGAGGAGGGGGGGGCTGGTGGTCGGGGCAGGGCGGCCTCGAGTCGGGCTCTCTCTCCCCTCCTCGCTCTCCCTCCCCGGCTCACTGCCGGCTCTTCTCCTCCTCCTCCCCCCCGCCAGGTCAAGATCTGGTTCCAGAACCGGCGCTCCAAGTTCAAAAAGATGTGGAAAAGCGGCGAGATCCCCGCAGACCAGCACCCCGGCGGCGGCGGCGGCAGCGCCTCTCCGCCCTGCGCCTCGCCTCCGGCCTCGGCCACCCTCGCCTGGGACTTTGCTCCCCACCAGCAGCGAATGAGCAACGGCGGCGCCAGTGGGAGCGGCGGCGGCGGCGGGAGCAGCGCGGGCTCCAGCCCTGGCACTCCCGGCGGGGCGGCGGCGGCTTTCCTGGGTAACTATTCGTGGTACCACCAGGCGTCCAGCGCCGCCGTTTCCCACTTGCCCGCCGCCTCCCCGATCCTGCAGCAAGGGCAGGCTCACCCGCACCACCATCACCTGCACCATCACCACCACCACAGCGCGGCCGTCACCGCAGGGACGATTTTCTAGCCCCCCCCTCCCCAAATACCCGAGTGCGCACGCGCGCGCAACCCCGCAAGCGGAGATCCACCGGGAGGCGGGGGGGAGGGGCCGCTCAGCGGAATGAGTGAGATAACCTCCCTGGTGCTTTGTTGAAGAATTACTCTCCCCCCACCCCGAGTGACCCAGCAGTGGCTCCTCTGCTTCCCTGGGAAGGAGGGAACGGGCCTGGAGTGTGGGATCTCGGGTTGCCAACTCTGGGTTGGAAATTCCTGGAGATTTGAGGGGTGGAGCCCAGGTTCCCGAAGGGAGGGGAGGGACTTCAACCGGTATAAATGCCATACAGTCCATCCTCCAAAACATCCGTTTCCCCCAGGGGAACTGATCTCTGTAGGCTGGAGATGAGCTCTAATTCCAGGAAGGCATCTCCAGGCCCCCACCTGGACATTGGCAATCCTGGCACAGAGGTCTGATCAGTGTCCCCCACACTCTCCTCAAGCATATCAGACCCCCCACCCACCCAATCCAGCCAGAGGCTTTGAAATCACTGGTGACAGTGGAATGGGGGGGGGAGCTATGGTGGCCAGCTCCTTCCAAAAATCTCTCTATGAGATTCCCCCCCATCCCAAGGTTCTTTCCTCCGGTACCCACCACTACATCTCTTAGATCCCTTCCCTTTCTTGGGGAGGGAGAGAGGAGGTTCCCCCCACCTTCTCTCTATCCTTCTGCAAACTTCACTAGCAATCCACTGATTTCTCATCAAATCACCAGTGCAGAATTTCTTATTTAATTTTCTTTAATGTTTTGTAAACGTTTTTTATAGGTGCCTTTGCAGATGACCTCATTTTGATGTTGGGAGAAAAAAAAAAGATAAATAATTTTTATATGTAGATATTTAAAATTTTAAGAAAAACCAACCCAGCTGTGTTTAAATTATCTTTTTTAAAATGTTTGCAGGGCTTTTCTTCACAAGGAAAAAAAATATGTTTAATAAAGCTGTTTGTGTTGATTCCCCCTTCTTCTTTGTATAAAAAAAATGAAAAGTACCATTTGATAACCTGTATTTGTTTTTGTGAACCAAGATTTGTTAATGTCATATTTCTCTCCCTCGTTCTCTCTCTCTCTCCCTCTCTCTCCCCCCCATAACTTTATTATTCTTTTTCAGACATTTCCTTTTCTCTGTCAAAAACAATAAGCTACTGAATTCTTTTTTCCGTTCCGTTGGTTGTTTAAACATGAAAAAAGGTTATTTTTCTTGGTTATTTATTACGAAAGCAGACGAACAAAAAGAAAAGAAAACCCACAATTCAATGTTACTTTTACAATATGAAGAGATTATTTAAATAAATTATTGTCTCCACCGTCTTTGGTTCAGTCAGTCAGTGTCGCCTGTGGGAGGCCCTCTGCTTCAGGGGCGGGTTTGGGGACACAACTGAGCAGTCTCCCCCTTTTGGGGGCTCCCCTCCCCGCACAATCCCGGCTTCCTGCCAATTAGCTGAGCCCAGCCCCGGTGCCTCCAAAACACGGCGCGAGAGAGAGTCCTGCGTCTGGGTGAGCGCCCCGGGCTGGCTCTCCTCGCGGCACTTGTTGCACTGGGGCGGCCTCGGTGTTTTGGGGAGGGGGGAAGCGCGGCTTAACCAAGACAGTCTCGCCGGGTGCCTGCCAGCCAGCCAGGGCCCCACCTCCCCCGCGCCCAAGACGGAGGCCGGAGCCGCGCCGGCCTCCCTCCCTCCCTCTCTGCCTCCTCAGGCATGAATCATTCACTCAGCACGCTCCTCCTAGGCCCGGCCCCTCCCCACTGCGCTCTGGCGCCACCGACATCTAAGGAGCCCGGGACAGTCTGCGGGCGGCTTCCCGCGCTAGAAGCCTGCAGGCTCCAGGTTGCCGCTGACCCAGGCTAGGTCGCCCTGCTGGCTGCAGACGCTGCGGGCTTCCCGGGCAGTCTCTGCCTTCCCTGGCCGTGCGCCCTGGGAGCTGGGACTTCCTCCCGGCTTAAAAAGAAGGGGGGGGGGGTTGATTTGTCGCCTTTTGGGTTCCCGTCTCCTTGGCGCCCACACGCGCGGCAGGCAGAGCGGCCTCAGTCCGGGAAACGCGGCGGGGGGTGTGTGTCTTTCGTTGCGGACCTTTCCGTTCTCTGTTTCCAGCCTGCCTCTCGGCTCAGCCACAGATCCCGGCGGACAGGCGGGTGGGAAGACGCGCATCTCCTAGGAGGGGAAGGAGGCCAGCGGCGGCGCCTTTCCTTGGGAAAGTGCGCCCCACATCTGTTTATCTTTTAGACGCCTGAAGAGTTAACTTGGAGAAGGAAGCCCTTCCCACAGGAACAAAGGGGGGGAGCCACTGTGCCACCACTGGGGGGGGGAGATAAAGAATAGCGAACTGGTTTGTTGTGGCACCAGTTTGGCAGCCCAGACAAGAGTCTCGACGCCCACTCCGCACTCCTGACGAGGCGGGCTCTCGTTCCCAGGGAGGTCCGTGCCAGCCAAAAAGAAAAAGACAAAAAGGCTAACTTCCAACGCTGCCGCAAAAAAAAAGAAATAAACTTAAAAAAAAAAAAGTCTTGCTCCCGCACGCGCAGCCGCTCCCCTGAAAGTTGTCCCGGGATGACATCTGCAGATAACCTGGGCCGCCGGCCAACTTCTGGCTCGTGCTTCAAGGCCGGGGATGGAGACGGCTGGGCGGCGGGCGGGGGACTCCTCGCTGCTCCCCGATTCCGAAGGGAAGCGCCAGGCCCCGCTCGCCCTGGGGAGTCCCCCGAAGACCTCTTCCTCTCTCTCCCGGGGAAGTTCAGACTCCCACAAGCGCTTCTGCCCGCCGCTCTCCCCCGAAGGCCCTCGACTCCTCCCAGGGTAGCGCTTGTCCGCGCGGCGCGCGCCTGGACACCCGAGGTCTGGGGAAGGGTTTTCACCAGACACCCCCCCCCGCCCATCCAGACACGCACCCCCCTCCGCTTTGCTTCTCTTCTCTGAGGGCGCCTGGGAGCCCTGCCGGCGACTTCGGGGGAGTAAGCGAGGCAGGGCTTGGTCGGTCGGAGACCCCCTGCCTACAGTCGCTGCTGTGGCCCCTCCTCGGAGGCTTCGGGACCAGGGTTCCCTCTAAGCGGAGTTAGTGTGAGCTAGCTCACCGTTCGTTAGCCTCCGGCTCACGCGTTTTTGTCTTCGCTCGGGAAGGAGGGGGCTCCAGAGCAAACTGATTTAGGCAGCAGCCAAATCGCTCGCTCACAACTTTCATGCCAGTGGCTCACAGAGTAGAATTT